GGGGGGGCGCTTAGCTCTCCCCTGTCCTTTGAGTTCTCCTCCATCAGCGTGCTGAGTCAGGGTCGACTCAATGGCAGCGAGCTTGGTTCAGCTTTTGACCACTTGGATCATCCCCAAACTCCAGGAACCCTTGATCACTCTAGGGACTCTAAGATGCACATAAAAGACCTGCCGCCAACGTCTCCCACCAGAATCTGGACTCTTTTTCTATCGATGCGGACATCATAAACGTATAGGAATACGCCCGGTGCTTGTGGTACAAGTGCGAAATCTGTAGCTTCCACTCACTCAGAACTTAGCTTCTCATACAATGTCAGTGGACCATTGAGTAGACAGCGATAGTTCCATCTAGTTCTTGGAAGAGATTTTTAAAAGGGGGGTGGGGGTTGAAGTCAAATGGCCATCTCTCCCCACACACTAGCAGCATGTTTGGGGAGTTTTAGAGCAAAGGAGCAACTACGTGAGTAAGAAAGCACGCAAGCAAAAGAAGGCTTGTGAGAGAGGCTATTCAATGGCCTAAACCCACTGGCTTGGGCAATGCGGTGAATTTCGGATTATAAGTAAAGAAAAGGAAACTGCAGAGGCTGACGGCTACCTCAAAGTGGCATTGAGAGAAAGCCCCGGTCAGCCTGGGCCTAATGCGGCTCAGAAGCAGGCAGGCTTTGAACCCATCTGGAGGCTGCTCCTGGCCCTCCCTAGCTGTATTTAGGAAAAGCTAGAACCATCTCCACTTAACTCACTCACCCAGTGGCTCCCCTCCTCCCACATTCATGGAAATCTGCACACGCCCCTCCCAGCTCCCCTCCAATGTGATGCCTGTCACTTCCCGTGACAGGGGAACAAACGGCAAAAGCAGGTGATGGGCAGCGGAGCCGTTCAGAGTGTTCCAAGCGTTTCATCGGTCGCAAGGCTGCCTTCTTTTCATTTACATCGAAGGCAGGGATTATAAAAGGTTATTGTGTGCCTGCCCTTGGACTACCAACCCTTCCACCCAAGAGAGCGACTTCCCTCCGCTGCATCCCCTTCTCGCTGACCTTTCTCACGTTGTGCCCAAGGTCCGGGCTGGCATTTCTGGGCAGGGATTTGCTGCTCCTAGCCAGGGCCGCTACGACGTCAACTCGGCAAATGTCACGGGCATGAGTACCACAGGCAGTATTCAATATTTGGCTTTTCTGTTTGAATTCCCAGGTATGAGGATGGGGAAGGTACTACCGGGCTACTACTGTGCAAGAGGCAGCCGCGGCGACGAATAAAAAGCCTCCGACATGCACCCCCTTTCCTGAAAGGATCATCTTGGGGAGACATGGACACTTAAAAGACAAAAGAATGTAATTTCCAATCCTCCTCCTTCTTTTCTCCTTTCTGCTTTGAATTTTGTTTTATACAAAGCATGTATCTTTTACCTTTGGTGTTATAATTTATCCACCATCCCTTTCAAGTTTTTTTAATGCATCGAACATGCACACATATGTATTTTTTTAATATGATCGAGACGTTTTCCTAATCTACTTTTCAAATAAATCCGTCAAAAGCATTTTCCAAGCAAGGCTCTTCGGCAAAACAGTCGCTGGAAGGGCCCTCGCCGCTGGGGGCTTCGTCTGGAAGGCCCGCCCACATTCACCAGAATACTCATCTAACCTTCCACGAGCAGACAATGAGCTTCCCTGCGTATTGTGTCGCTGTGTACTGCGATATTTATCTCACTGCGTCTACATGGACCGCAGGTCAATCAAGATCCCTTAAGGATCCCAGAAATGTACCGTAACCCGATCTGAAATCTGGACACAAACTTAAGAACCATAATGTTCCTCACACACTCATGACAGTGGTAGGCCATTAAAAATCATTTACATATCCAACAAGAAGCAGTCTTCGTTGCCTTTCTTTCCTAATAGCCGATGCTTCCTTGTCCCTTACTCTGTGTCTGGCACTACACTAATGCGCTGTATCTGTATTCTTCTCTCACTCGATCCTCAGCCTATCCCTGACCGTCAAAACCAAAATCCTGTTCCTGTGGAGTCCATTCCGACTCCCAGGCACCCTAGAGGGCAGAATAGAATTGCCCATGTGGTCCCCCAAGTCATAAATCTTTAAGGAAGCAGACTGCCACCTCTTTCTCTCCTAGGGAGCAAGATGCGAAACTGGCGGGTTTGAACCTCTGCCCTCTTGGTGATCAGCTCAGTGCTTCCCCACGAGGCCACCAGTGCTCCGAACTCTGGTAGCTGGTGTTATGTGCCACGCAGTCAATTCCGGCCCATAGCACCCTTAGAGAACAAAGGAGGATAGTCACTGGGCCAGGACCCGTAAGGTCATCCATTCAAGCCCACCAGTCACTGTAAGGGAGAAAGATGAGGCTGTCCGATCGTGTATAGATTTATAAACCTCAGAAGCCATACATTGGGTCACAATGGGTCCCATTCAACTCGATGGCAGTAGGATACAGTTTCCTCGGTTGTGAGATTTACTAGAGTGGATCACCAGATCTCTTCTCCCATGGTGGGCTCCAACTGCCAGCTTGTGGACTAAGGGCACCACCAGGATGCCTTGGTACATGGTGAGTATACATTAGTGAGACAATTCTGGAGGAGGTGTGGCAGTCTGTGTGCAGAGAGATTTACAGCCTTGAAAATCCGACAGGGCAGTTCTACTCTGCTCTACCGAGTCACCATGAGCCAGCGCCAACTCAACGGCAGTGGGTTTGGGGAGGTTATCTATACGAGGGTCCTTCAAAGAGTTTGTGGAAAAATCATATTCTCCTTGCATAGGCCTAGGGAGCCTAGGGAGCCCTCCCTGGTGGTGTCCTTGGGCTGCTAATCGCAAGGCCAGCAGTTCAAAACCACCAGCCTCTATGGAAGAAAGATGAGACTCTCTCCTCCCGTAAAGATTTATGGTCTTAGAAACCCGCAGAAGCCGGTCTATGCTGCTCTAGAGGGTCACCAGGAGTCGGAACCATCTCAATGGTAGTGGGTTTGATGGTTTAGTTTGAGCAAAAGAACTGGAAAGTACACAACTGTCCAACTAGATGAGAATAAGCAAACAAAATGCAAAACCATCCCCCCAAAATGGACAGATATTAAGAACAGATTTATTGAAAATGAGAGATTTGTTTGTTTGTTTGTTTGTTTAGAAACAATTTTCTGATACTGGCTGGAGTTAACCAATTTGATTTAAAACAGAAGGGTTATAAGTGTTTTGGTTTTGTTTTGAATTAAAATGTTTCCCTACTGAAAATTAAAGCAATTTCTTTTCAATCAACAATGAATCTTTCAAAAGTTGCTGACTTGGTTGGTGTAAATTTGCCATCAATGAGCCATGACTGTTTCTTTATCATAACCCTGCCCTGCGGCTATGACTGGCACATTATACCAAATAGTTCACTAGCTGGTCGATAATGAACTTTTTTAATTCTTGAAAGAAAATAGTAAAAAGGAAATAAAACATTGCGATGCTTATTTCCTTCTGGCTTTCATTAAATCAAATTGGCTAACTCCAGCCTGTATCAGGAAATCATATCTGGGGGGACACTGATTTGATGAAATCTGTTCTCAATCTCTGGCCTTTGGGGGTACTCCCTCTCTCTTCTTAACTGACCATGTCGATTATATTCCTGTCCCCTGGAATTCCATATTTCCAGTAGCAGGGATGACTTTAGATCTTCCCCGGTGCTCTTTCAAATAAGGTGTGAATGAGTTTTCGATTTTACAGTCTTTGCTCTATGGCTCACTTTTGCATGATCCCACTTACAGGAAATAGCTGGAACAGGTGAGTGTACAGGGACCAAAGTTCATTGTGGTGACCCAGGGCGGGAGAACAGGGGTGAAGAAGCGGGTCTCACTGCTTCAGGAAACTGGTGGTGGGGGCGGGCGGTGAATCAGGACAGGCCCAAAAGACCTCTTTGCTAAGGGAGGCCACAGAAAGGGTGAGCGAGTGCGGACGACAGGAGGGCCAGGACTTACTCCAGGGATGGAGGCGATCATCTGCTTGCTCAGGATGGTTGACTCCGCCAGTTTGGTCCCAGCGTCTGCACAAATGAACTAGTGAGAAGTGGAAAGAATGGTTAGGTCTGAGCGCTTTGGGGGAGTAGCAAATGCTTCACAGTGACATGAACTTGGCTTAAATCTGTTCGTGTTTACTGCCACGACACTCTGCCCTGGGAGACGGCTCTGGCTAATCACAACACAGCTCAGGCCTATGAGACCTTCAGACTCCTCACATTGGCATGAGCACACAGGTCTCACTGTGCCCAGCAAGCTGAGCAGCATTGAGATGGACCCTGTAGTCAAGGAAGAGACAAAAAAACAGACCCAGGCTCTGCGTGGTCAGATTTATGTTGAATTCACTCTCTTGCCAGCTCTCCTTGGCAGTGACTACAGGCCATACTTCCGACAATTACCATCACAGGCTATGGCGCCCTGGTGGCACAGGGATTATGCATTTGGGCTGTGGTCCCCAAGGTCAGAAGCTCGGAACTACCAGCCACTCCTGGGAGAAAAACAGAGACTTTCTACTCTCATGAACAGCTGACATCTTGGAAACCCACAGGGGCAGTTCTACGCTGTCCTAAAGGGTCGCTGTGAGTTAGTACCTGCTGCTTTGCTGCCGGGCAGAGTTCAGGGGCTGAGAGAAGCCCTCGTTCATTCCACGCCACCCTCGTGCGGGAAGAGCACAGGGAAGCTGGCAGGCTCAGTCCCAGCCAAATGGTGGTGTGGTGGGGAAGTCGTACGGGTTGGAGTAGTCCAGAAAATCCTAAGAAAGCCAGACGAGGAGCTGTGGGCCAAAGGACCACTGCCAAGCTCATCAGGGTTGTTATGATGAGGCAGCAGGTTCGCTGACCAGGTGGTACTCTGTCATAAAGCTTCTAAGGGCCAGGAGGCCTTAGCCTTCTTGTTCAGGGGCAAGAGCTGCCCTTCCGGCATGGGTAACTCTAACCCTCCATGCCAGACACGTGGGTGCTGGTGACTCCTGGGGGTGAAAGGGCAGCAGGCCCCATGGCCCTTCCAAGCAGCATGATGGGTTGGGGCACCTATCTCCATTCTACCTTCACTTTCAGCTCCCTGTACCTCCACGGCAGTTGCAGGGAGCTGATGAGTCAATTCCGCCGAGAACTCTGCACCCCGACTTTGCATCTGGCAAAGGAGGCACCAGCCACTAACATCCAGGGGGCCCGAAGGTCCCATGATTTCGTTCAGACAAGCCCCTGTCTACTCATCTCGCGTGGACCGATTTCTAGCACATGGAAACTTCTCATCCTGCTTGGCAATGCCCCAGGGCAGGGGCAGAGAGAAAGATCCTTGATGAGACAGGCTGGCACAGACGGCTGCCGCCATGGGCTCCTGGACTGTTCCGTTGTTACATAGGGTCCTTGCAAGTCGGAACAGACTGGGCGGCACTGAACAACAACAGCCATCTGACTCGCACTTATTTCTAACATACGGAAAAGTGAGAAAAGAGGGTTGCAGAAGAGGAGGGAGAAACAGCGGCAGCTGCATTTTCACCAACATCTCAGGAAAAGTCGCTAGGAGGATAGGGTGGGCAGGAAGAAGCCGCCCAGCCTCCCGGCAGACACAGCTACTGAATGTTGTTTCCCAAAGTTTGTCGTCAAAAGCTGCCGCGTCTGCCATCAAAGAGAAACTACATCTTCCGGCCCCCTTTATTTGCTTGTTTTTCGCCGGTCGTATTGAGCTATCATGAACACATCACACAGGTCAATTGTTCAATCCTATTAAGAAGGGTGTGCAACCACCACGGCAAACAACTTTGAAATAGTTCTTCCTTCTTGTATCCACTGGGGTCGACGGCCCATTTCCTCCAACCCCACCTGTTGTGCCCCCAGGTAACTATCATTTCAGCGACTGTCTTTATAAACCCTGGCTTTCTGATATAGAAAAACACACGAAACCCCAGTCCCCAGCCCAGGCCCTCCTCTAACCTGCTCCCCCAGGTGGCTAGGTAGTGTGCCTACCTAGTTACCATAAACTGCATCATCCATCTATCAGAACATCTCAAAAGCCATGGAGAGAGAGGTGGCCTCACTCCACATGGGATCAGCTCCCCTTGTTATGGGGAGAGCGAGAAGACTAACTAATTCCTGCCCTATCACAGCGTTCTGCACTCATCCCAAATCAACAGACAACCCTACAGGAGTTATTAGTGAGCCTTACTGGGAGATTGGATCAAGAGTGGGGTGCAAAGGGGAACATGTCTACATCAGAGAAAGCAATTATACACTTTTTAATTTTTTTTTGCAATTGTACTTCTGATGGAGGGGTAAGACAAAGTACTTTTAACGGAGTCCTCAAACCGCTGTCAGCTGATAGGACCCCCTATTTCTCATCCATTTATTTTCCACAGAACTCTGAGACTCCCCAGCTAAGACAGGCCACAGGGGACGACAGAAGTGACCTAATGGGTGAGAGAAGGCAAGTCCGGAGAACCTACGCCCTTCACTTTAGTCAAATCTGCCCACTAGACAGTGGCTGAAAGCCCCAAGCCTCAAAGAGCCCTTGCAGGACCTGGCTGGGCCCTTGAGCGAAAGACAAGCATTGTCAAGAGGCAAAGCACCCAGGTCCCTTCTGCCTTCAGCAGATGTCTGTCTCCCTGCCACCCGCAGCAAAACAGCCACAAGTCTGCTGTCTGCATGGCTGGCAGTGAGACGTGGGGTCAGATTCCAACGTCTGATTTGTGCTAACACTCCCAAGTCAGAATGAATCAAAGCTCACCCTGAAAGTCCTGGAGGTGCCTCAGACAGTCTGGCAGCATCAAAAGGCACAAAGGTACTTACTAAGCTCATCTATTATTTATTTTTCATCATTGAATGTTTAACCCGGTGGAGCACATACAATTCGCACCTTAATAAGCCTGGCTATGCTCAGTTCATCTCACTGATGACCATGAACTCAAGAAAAGGAAACCCATTCTGATCTGATCACAATGTTCGGAACAAAGCTAAAACTGGAGGAGGACATATTGACTGCCGTGTTGTGGGTGGTGGGTGCCATCAAGTGGGGACCTCCTCCTAGTGACCCAGGTGCACCCGAAGGAAACACTGCCCAGTCCTGCACCGGGCTCATCCTTCTTCTTATGCCTGAGCCCATGGTTGCAGCCACTGTGTCAATCTGTCTCCCGGAGGGCCTTCTTCTTTATCTCCACCCCTCCACTTTAAGCATGACGTCCTTCTCCAAGGACGGATCTCTCCTGCTAACATATCTGAAATATGGAAATAAAGTCTCCTCTCCTTGACTCCAAAGAGCATTCTGGCTGTACTTTGCCCAAGACCGAGATGTTTGTGTTTTCACCGACACCACAGCGAAAGTGAACTGATTTTTCTTCAGTCTTCCTTATGCAATGTCTGACTGGCACGTGAGTATGAGACCATTGAAAATACCATGGCTCGGTCAGGGGCCCCTTAACCCTCAAAGGAGCGTCCTTGCATTTCAATACTATAAAGAAGCCTTGCCCAGCAGATCTTCCCAATGCCATGTGTTGTTTGATCTCTTGGTTGCTGCTTCCATGAACACTGACTGTGCTCCACACTCTTCCCTCCATTGAGCATGATGCGAACTCCTGGTCCAGTTGTGAGGGTCTGGACTCTCTTTGCACTGAGTTTTAATCGATACTGAAGGATGTGATTGTTGAGCTTCATCACCAAGTCCTCCTCGCTGTCAGCAAGCAAGGTTGTGTCGTGTGCATCTCAAAGGTTGTTAACAAGACTTCCTCCAATCCTGATGCCTCGTTCTTCTTCAAAGAATCTCGTTTCTCTGATTATTTGTTCAGCATACAAATTGAATAAGTATGGTAAGAGGAGACAATCCTGATGTACACCTTTCCTGATTTCAAACCATGCAATATTCCATTGTTCTGTTCCCACTACTGCCTCTTGATCCATGTACAGGTTCTGCATGAGCACAATGAAGTGCTCTGGAATCTCCATTCTTATGATCCACACAGTTGAATGCCTTGGGAAGTCACATAAACATCTTTCTAGTATTCTCTGCCTTCATTCAAGATTCATCTGACAGCATCAATGATATCTTTTGTGCCATGTTCTTCTCTGAACCTGGCCTGAATCTCTGGCAGTTCCCCTAACATTGTACTACTGCTGAAACCATTGTTGGATGACCTTCAGCAAAATTTCACTTGCATGTGATATAAGTGATATCATTCTATAATTTTCACAGTCTGTTTGGGTCACCTTTCTTTAAAATGGGCACAAGTAGGGATTTCTTTCAGTCAGCTGGCCAGGTAGCTGTCTTCCAAATTTCTTGGCATAGATGAGGGAGTGCTTCCAGTGCTTTATCAGCTTGTTGAAACATTTCAATTGGTATTACATTAATTCCTGGATCCTGGTTTTTGGATAATGCATTCAGTGCAGCTTGAATTTCTTCCTTTAGCACCATTGGTTCCTGCTTGTGTTAGGCCAGGTTGACTAGAGAAACAAATCCAGAGATACTCATATGTGTATAAGGGAGAGCTTTAGATCAAAGAGCTGTTCTATATTAAGAAAACATCCCAGCCCAGTCCAGATCAAGTCCATAAGTCCAATATTAGCCCATATGTTCGATATTAGTTCATAATTTCCTCTTCAGGTTCACACAGCACATGTAATGATGCCGAATACAGGAAGATCACAGGCCTGTGGGTGGAAAGTCTTGTGGATCCAGTGGCAGTGGAAACATCTCCAGGACTCTGGATGCCATCAGCGTGGCTCCATGTGGCTTGTCAACAGGAAGGTGAAGCAGAGAGAAAGTGTGTTACACCTCCAGGGAGGAAGAGATGAAGTTCCCAGAATCCTCATCAGAAGGCCACGCCCACACAGAGGCCTCATTGGCTATGACCTGATTGACAGTCTAGACTCCACCCCTTCACTCATAATACCCTTCAGTTGACATGAGGTTATGTAACTACCACACTGCCCATACGCTACCTCCTCAAAAGCTGACTAGTTCTTTTGGTACATTGACTCTATTCTTTCCATCTTCTTTTGATGCTTCCTGCATCATTCCATATGTCGCCTATAGAATCTTTCAGTATCACA